TTTTAATCGTAAAATATTTTTAATATTTAGATTAGATTAGTTACTATAGTTTTTGGACCAAGATAATAAAATGTTAAATTTTCAAATTAAAATATTTAAATTAAATTAATTAAATACTTCAAATACTTGCAGTAAGATTTCTAAAGTGAATTCCCCTTTCTCGCTTTGCACATTTGTAACAACTAATGATTCCCAAAGGGAACTTCATAAATTAATTGCTAATCTGTGGCCATTCGTTTGGATAACTTCGCATTTCAATTTCGCTCGGCAGATATTAATAAACAAACTGCTTTTGGCTTCAGACGGATTATAACGTATGTACATGTGGCGGGCAAAGGCAATGGAGTGTGTGAGCACACAGTAGTCCCTCATCGTCATCATTATCATTATCATCATCGTTGTAGTAATCAAGAGGGAAGGATTTTTGCCAGTTATTGCCAACATCACGTAATTACGTTAATGAGCCTCATTAGATGCGCAGTAGCTGCAGCTGCAGGATGGTGGAAAAGGGGGGAGGAATAAAAAATAAAGCCAGCGAAACTGGCAACAGTGACTGCTAAAAGTACACAGCCATCATCGTCGTCGGTTAAGTGGCAAGCTCCCCTGGCTGCGAAAAGTATTTTAAAGCGCCCTGCAATTAGGGGCAACGATGCCAGGTATTAATGCGGAGTACCCAGCCCTCAAAAGGGTTAAAGGCCTTGAGCAGAGACATGTACAGAAGACGCGTTTTGGTTTGGTTGGGTTTCACTCGCATTCCGTATTTCCCATTTACCCATTTCCCATTTCGTATTTCGAGTGAACTGAATCCAGGCTGCCAGGATGTTGCTGTAGTGATGCAATGTTGCAGGACGACTGCTGCTGCTGTCAGCCCCTTGGGCTCGGATGATCAAGTTCATGGCTGTGTGGTTCAGTGATGGTGTGGAGTTGCCAGCCATGGCTTACATAAGGCTGTAAAATGGTTCGTAATTAATTTAAGAACCCACAAACTACAATTTAAATAAAAATTAATTAAAAATTATATTATTATTTTAAGGGTGAAACTAAAGTTACTTTGATGTATTTATTTATGTTTAAAAGTAGACAACCATATATTTTGATCGAACCATATTACTTTTCATAGCATACTTAATGATTGGTTTATATCACGCATAAGTACTTTTGCCTTTTACTTTAATCATGGTGACCAAACATTTATATTTTTTCTACGTTTTTTTAATTTTTCCAACGAAATCAATAAGTTTACAAGATTAGAAATGGAAACTAAGTTCATACTGGCATGAGTAATTTTTAACGAAACTCAAATAAACTTTTTTTTAATCCTTAAATAACACTTTTATTTTTCAAAAAAATAGTTTCATATAAGAATACGATTTTATTATTGTTAAATACCTTAAGTATTAGATTAAGATGTCTCCTAAAATGATAACAAATATTTTCTAGGAAATTATTTATTTTACAAACATTAGACATTTATCTAAAGGTGGAATTTTTTTTACCTTAAAAGTTTTATAAAATTGTATATATTTAATTAAGATGTATTATGTAATGATTACAATTATTTTTTAATAAATATAGTGTTTAATTTATGAACCTAAGACATCTTTCTATGGATAAATCCTGATTTTTTCCAAATATACCCAGCCATCTCAGCTGCAAAGGAAACCGGAATGCGACCCGATGCTGGGCCGTTTTGAAGTCATGTCAGTGGCAGGAGCAGCTGCCAGCTGCCAGCTAATTGTAGTCAAATCCATTATGCAAATGGACGCGGGATGAGGGGTGTTTTCGGTCTGCGGAAGCGTACAGCAGCTTCCTTTTGGCCAGCATTTAAGTGTGGAGAATGCGGAGAGTGGAAACTGAAGATTGCATATGCCTCTAGTTCAAAAAAAAAAGGGAAAGGGAGGAGAGCTCACTTGCTTGTTGTCATGGCATTGTGTATTGCCCGTTGGGTAACTAGCTGGAATTTCCTTTCAACACTCAACACCCAAGTGCAGCAAAGCTGGCAGAGACCTTGAAGTCTCCACAGCCCTTTGAGGAGCAGCTTTGCTCTCTTACTGTTTCTGCGTAAAGTTTTTCAATCAATTTTTCATATGGAAAGTTTGAAGCACCAGCAGGACCGCCAGAACTTGTCAAGCCCACGGTGCGTATACTCAACAGGTTAACATGTATGAAAACGAGCATTATTAAATTAATATCTAATTTGTCTGTATGGGGAAGTTAGTCCAAATTTAAGGGCTATTAAAGACATTTTCTTGGCAGCTGGGACTTTCGTTTAAGACATTTTTACCTAAATGACTCTTGAATACTGGTAAAAATAAAGTTAAAAGAAGCTTTAAAGCCATAAGAACCACATTAACTTTAGTAAATACAAATATATACCTCATAAAAAAATAAATATAACTCACAAAAAAAAAAAAAAATATCTCTTAAAAAAAAACAAAATAAATAAAAAAAAAAAATATATAAATAAAAAAACTTAATAAATAACTAAACAAGCAAATAAATATATAAATAAATAAAGCAAACCCGATTTTTTAAATAAAACCAAAATAAATATTTCTAGTTCATATATCCTTTATTAATTTCTCATCATTATTTTCGTTCCGTGTACGTTGCATGGCTCCATGCCTGCAATCGTAGGCCGTTCTTTTCCCAGTCGCAGCACGTTCCAATAATGGCCAAAGTTTGTGCCGATTTTTTGTTCCTTTTCGGCTAACTGCCTTCGATAAAATGTGTTTATGGGCGCCGCAAGCTGGTCCCGCACTGCTGCATTTTATGGCCTGGTATTCAAAAGGCCAAGTTGCGAATTCATATTTAATTGAGCACGGCGAAAAATAAACAGTGGCGGTAATAAAAGCGTAGCCAATTGTAGCTGTCAAAATGGGGCATTAATTAGAAAATTGTAAACTTATTGGCGGACCAAGAAAAAGAAAACCTAAAAAGGGGTAGGCCTATAATAATTGGCTAAAGGTAAGTCCGGGTGGGCGCGTCAATTGAGTTAATTAGCAGATTAAAAGAGGGAAGCAACCTTTAAATGGCTTAATAATTCAATAAGCAAAAGGGCGGAATTCAGGTTGGGAGGCTTACGATACTTACAGATAATGGGGAGGCGTTAAAAGATGATTATCCTTGGCAAACCCATTCAACTTTACTTTTTCGCTTTTAATTTTGCGAAGTAAAAGGTAACAGGGAATTTTCTGCCCACCAACTTTAAACTAAATAAAATGTTACAAGTCTTCGAGTCTTGACCGCAACTAACTTGGCCTTTAGACAACCATTTCCATGGCTTATCAGCGCGCCAGTACAATCTGTAGTAATCTTTTATTTTCCACAACTACTCGGAACTAGGGAAAAAGTTGCCAACAGCCAACATTTCTCATCTTTTGCTGAACTTCAGCCTTCATTTTCCCCCTGCTCGTTTGGGCCATAAAGTTTTGTGGCCCATTTCTCATGCTTATTGTTTTGGATTCCCTTTTTCCTTCTACATTATTTTTTTTTGTGTGTGAACTTTTCCCTGCGGTTTGCCATATTTTTCGGGCTAATGCAAATTAAACTTTGTTAAAATATGTTTGAAATAGGGAGTTTATTGGCTCATTTTATTGGCCTATATTAAAAATAATTGAAAAACTTGATGTTCGGCTCGAAATGAAACAACTTTTGTTGGATTTAATTCAATTTTATTATGTGTTTTTAGCCTTTTGCTTAAATTTAAATACCAATCAGTGAGCTTTTTTAATTCGATTTAAACCTTTATTTTTTTTAGCTATATAAAAACTTAATTACGCTCTAGTAAACCTTTTTTTACGGCTCTCAATTCGCTAATTGAGTAGTTTAAATCACACTTATCGGTCAATTTAAGTGGGTATAACAAACAACAATTAATCTATTATTTATGCTTACTTTCAGTAAGCAAAGTGGCAACTTTATAGTTAAATATATAGGATTTAGAGTAATTTGCTTTAATTTAGTAGCTAATTTAATCGTTGTAAAAGCAACAAATAATTACATTTATTCTGTGTATTCACATGTACTTATTTATAAGTTGTGTGGTGTGGCTGATTTATGTGTTCATTATTAACGAGATTGAAAATATTTGTCGGGGCTCAATTGCAAATACTTCAATCATCATAATTTATGCGTTCGCTGGCCATTTGTCATTTGTCGAGGGGCTTAAGCGATTTCAATTACAATTCTCCCAAGAGGGGAAAAAAAATGTGCAAATATTTATGCATTGTTTCATTGGATTATTCGGTCAGCTGCAGTGACTGCATTTCAATTATTTCCAATAAATTCAGAAAAAAACCACATGAAACGTGAGTGAATTCCCAAATGAGTTCAAGGAAAATTATAATTTCATTCACAGCCCAAAATCCGATTTCGTATAAAATATATTTTCCACATTTTACAAACGCAACGCACTTCACTGCAACTGCCACTTATTTTTCCAATGGTTGCATTCAAAATCGTTTCAACTAAGGCTATAAAAATATTCCTTAAACAATTAAGTCTAATTTGCCATTAATAAACATACGGGCATATATATATTTTATGTACAACATCTCGCAAATATATTCTTGTCCTTAAATCGTTGCCAAAAATTCGTAGTTTTGAGTGAGCACGTGTATTGCATACTTTATGCGAATGAAATCAACATGAAATTGCACTGGTATCGAAAAGGGAAAAATGCAAGAGCTTACGATACTTGATTTGATTTATGAGGAAAAGCTGTACAGCTGTGTTCAAAGTAGTAAATGTGCGGATTTATTATTTAAGATAAAAATATAAAAATTTTAACACATAAAATAAATTAAGTAGATTTTACAAAAATAAAATATAATAAAATATAATATAATAAAATGTACTAAAAATCAAAAAAGGTGTCTAAAAGTATGCAACACTATTCTTTAAACTCAGAAATGCGATGAGTTGATTCAGTATGATGACAATTTATTATTAACTGCATACTTTTGGACATTTAATTTTAATTTTTAATATTCCAAAACTAAAAAATTTTTTAAACTAAATAAAACTAATATTTTGCTCGTAGCTGTAGGTTACATATGCGAATTCATGCACAGTATTTTTACAGCTGCCTCTTGAGTGTGAAGAGGGAATAGAGTAGAATCCAATGGTGCGTATGAGTGATGAGCGAGCGTTTTATTATTATTACGAATGCGACGGCTTTTACGATTTCTCACCAAAGTATGCAAATAACTCGTGTTTATCTGGGGGTGCTCTTACACAGCTAGTTTACTTTTTACAAGGATATATTTAAGGGTTTAATATATATATTTTATCAGGATAAAACTACGTCACAATTCGAGATGTTTCAGCGGTATATAGCTGGTGATCCGTGGCCCCGCTCACTTTGTCCACGACCACAACAATGGCCTGGAACTGCTGGGCCAAGGGATCCGCCTCAGGCTCCACTGCCCCATTTCCGGTTATAGGACCTCCGGAGGACTCCCTTCGCCTGCGTTTGAGGACACTCAGCAGGCGGCTGAGCAGCGTTCGGCGACCACGACTCCTCCTCCTTCGATGCTACAGATTCGTCACCTGTGTGATGTTCGTGGTCGTGGTAGCCGTCACCACCTGCACCTGCTGCTGTCGCCCCTTTTCCAGGACAGGCGCCACTGCCGAACGCTCCGCCCGAGCAGCTGCCATCTCGTCCTGCGCCACTGGCAGCCATTTGTCCAGGAATTTTGGACGAAATAGCAAAGTGAACGTTGTACGGAATTGTTTGCTCATCGAGCAGTACAGAATGAAGTTGATGCTGGAGTTTATCAGGGCCAAAATGTCCATGAGGTCACCTGGCAGGAGGGCGAGAATTAAAGTTAGAAGTTAAGGCTTGAATTAGACTTAGAAAAGGTAGTAAATTTGCATTAAAATTATGATGATTACGATTTTAAAACAATAAGAATAAATGGTTATTGAATCAAAATGTTAATTAAGCCTTTAAAAAAAAGGTTAAAATAATTTTCTACATTTTTTTTAATTAAATAATTAAGTATTTATTTGAGCGAATGAATAAGCTAAGAAGATAGAAATAACCTATAAAATCTCCAAATATCATATTTAATTAAAAATGTTCCAATGCATTTTATTTAAAAAATTTAAAAATCGTATAAACTATTTTCTACCTTAGTTTTAACATGTTTATATGCAATCATACAATAAAAATGTTAGGTTTTTTATTATTTATATTTTTTTAATTTAATTTAAATAATTTATTTTAAACTTACTCAGTCTTAGGTAGCACTGCAGGTAGAAGACATCTCCGAGAACGGCATTCAGCAGACCCATAATCCCCTGTGGAAATTCGGTGATGAGAAAGAGAAGCAGCACGGCCAACAACATTCGAGTGGTACGATCGGTTTGCTTTTCCTTCTCTAAAGTTTTACTATTTTTTCTCGGCCTGTCGGCTGCCTTTCCATTTACCACGGACTTCGTTCCATTACTGGCAGCCGGAGCTATGGGTTTGCTGGTCAGCTTCTTTCTCCGCCGCTTGGCCTCCAATAAAGCCAGGATCAATCGAACCGATAGAATGGTAAGTGCTATGCAGGGTATTAGTTTTATGACCACACTGTATATAAGAAAGGTGGCATTTTGCAGCGAGGCATTGTGCAAGGCCAAATCACTGTGATACAACCGGTACACTGTTACATTTCGCACCACTGGCGATGGAGTGGTTGGTGGTGCCATCGTCGTTGTGGTTGTCGATGTGGTGGTGGTGATCAAGGAACTCACATTCAGCCACAGAGTTTCGTTCAGCGGTGCACTTGTAGGGGGCGTGGCATTCAAGGCAGCCGCCATGGCACTCTTTATCTCATTACGGTAATCAATTACGTATTGGGTCATGGGAATCGAGTTTATCACCTTGCCATTCATATCCAATTGATCAACATATTCCGTTATAGCTGTGATCAAATAGAGAGAGGGTGACACCACCAAAACACAAACCACATAGGCCGTGGTAATCGTTATTATAGTAGTTCTCATGCCGCACCAAACGCGATTCTTCTGCGGATAACCCACTGCTATATAACGCCAAACGGCCAGAGTTACAGTCAGCCATATCGATATGGTATGCAAAACCTGGGCAAAAATAGAATGGAACTTAATGAAGCAGGCCCAACTGTAACTGAGTTTCTCCTCTCGCGGCAAACTGTCCGTTAGGATATAGTCGTGTATGGTGTAGGGTATATATTCCAGCATAACTGCCAAATCGGCGACGGCCAGACCAGTGAGTATGGCATTCGTGGGGGAGCGCATCTCACGTCGTGTTAGCACAATAATATTCAGGGTATTCGCAATGGTGCCTAGGATGCAAACCACCAGCGAAACATAGCCATGCATGTTTTTGTAGCTGAAAATATAAAGAAATAAATTGGAAAGAGTTAGATTATTCTTGATAATAAAACCAGGGACCGTAAATAATCATTATTTGAGATTTTTATTTTAAAAGGCCTACTGAGACTTTTACAAGTTTTAATCGACAATTGAACTGGTTTTTATGCACTTTATAGACATGAACAAATAACAGTTAATTTACTTTCCAGATTTGTTGAAATGCATATACTTTGTGGACAAGAGTAAAAAGAACGTTATTTTTGACGTTTAAAACGAAATATCACAGTAGTCTTTCTAAAATAAAAATCTCAAATAATGATTATTTACGGTCCCTGAATAAAACCTTGAATTCAGTAGGTGCCTAAAAGTGTGCAAAGCAATATTTATAACCCGTAAGTATTCCTACTATTTTTATTGCACTCTTTTAGAAACTTTTATAAGTAATTATTAATTTAAATAAATTATAATTATATTAATTATATTTAAAAATCGTGAATTGAAGCAATAAATCTAAATATGGGTTTGAAATATTTTTATAAACGTGTCTGAAAGTATGCAACGAAATATTTTGCAACACTTTGTAAGACCATGTTTTTTATTGCATACATTTATACACCTTTGTTTATTATAACGCTAATGACAAATTTAATTTAATAAGTGACTTTTAATTATCTAAAATTAGGAAGGAAAAAACCAATTGACTTTATTTTAAATATTTAACATTTTTATATTTATTAAATATTTCCTCTTAATTTTTTGCAACATCCTTAAATTACAAACCAACCTAAGCTTCTTATATCTCAAGTGTAATAAAAACACAAATCGAAAGTGAGTGAGTGAGTGAGTGAGTGGTAGGCATTTGGCAAATTATGTTTCGGTTATTATGCTCTAGTTAGCCTTAACCAATTTGTTACTTCTCCTGTCTCTCTCACTCTCTCTCTTAGCCAAGCAGGCTAATAAAACCATCCAAAAGCCATTTCCGTTGACTCGGCAAACAGAAATGCTTCTGTGCAGCAGTTGAGGCAATAAACTCACTAGGTCCTAGGGCTTAAGCCACGCCCACTCCCACATGCCGCCCCCCAGTGGGATAAACATTTTACCAGCTTTTGTTTAGTTTTCGTCGAGCGCTTTGAGGCCAAAAAAAAGTGGAGAAATGAAAGCGTGGGAAAAGGGAAACCCAGGCGAAGGATTCAAATTTCTAGCCAAAGTTTTTGGGGAATTTGGCACAGGGAAAACCGAAGCGGCTCTCAACGCTTTCGTTTTTGGTCTTTGCCTTTCGGCATTTTACCCAGTTTATTTCCCCCCCTATTTTATGCAAGTTGCAGCCAACAAATTAGACTTAGCATAAAATTTAGATGGGCGGAAAAGCGAGGCGAGGCGAGGCCCACAAACATGACACTTTAACGCCTGCAGGAGATGCAAATGCAGAATGTAGAATGCAAAACTCTGCGGCTGACTGGCAGTAAAAAATGTTTAATAAACTCCAGGCTCTCAACTCTCTCGACAAAATGGAGTGACACGAGTGTGTCCTGTCAGTGTCAGGACTTTAGTTAAATTGTTTATTGCTTTCGTGCAAAATTCCCCATTCACCGAGAAACAAAAAAAACAGGGGATTCCCCTGAACGAACAACCGAATGACAGTTTTATTGAAGAAGAAGAATCTAAGCCAAATTTGTGGGCAACTTTTTAGTCGTGTTACCCTAAACTGCAGGTGGTCTTATGCAATTCTCTGCCGAATTTCCATTCCAATCTCGACACAGAGATGAGAGCTTTTCTGCTTGCCAGTTCATATTAATTTGTTTGCCAACGAAATTCGTCCAAAAACCAAATGAAAAACTGAAAAAAAAACTTTTTGCATCGGCACCATGCAATCAACTGCGGGCGAGGGAGGGAAAGTTGGAAAATGTCTCTATTATTTTTGGTAGCTAGAGAAGAAAAAACTATGCCCAACTTGGCATGAAACTTTCGATCCTGTAGTTATGCCCTTTGGGGGGATTTCATTGACAAGCTTATGCTGTCCTGGCTTACAGAGAGAGAAAAGGGGGTTGTTTAGCATGACTAATCCGCTGATGTTGATTAATGAATAAGATTAAACCAATATTTTAAGTATCAGAAGGTAGGAAAAGGTGTTAAAAGAAAAGTTCGACCTTGAAAAGTTTGTAAAGTTTGTAATTGTTCTGACTTACAGATGAAAAAAATGTAGGTACTTAAAAGTACTAATTAATAAATTATTTAAAGTTATATTTTCAGTACCAAGAGAAATAAGATATTTTACTATATAAAAACAAATGACAAGGAAATTAATGTTAAAAAAGAAAACAAAGTACTTACAAAATCGATAAGATCTTCAATGAATAATTCATAATATTATATGTTCACATTTTTTTTGTTATATTTTTTTAAGTTCTCGCATAATGACATGCATGATTTTTCCGGTGTACAAACAAACCGATGTGTTTTGCCTAGTTTGCATGGTTTTTGGGTTCATTTCGACAGCTGACTATGCCTGATTTCTGGGCCAATAACTTTGAGCCCGAACCCTCCTCCTCCTGCCAATCCCGTTCTAGCCCAAAAAACAATTCCAGGACTTCATTCATGTCGTCGACGTCGTCGTCGTTGTCGTTGCCGCCATTCATCAACATGGATTATCAAAGGCCATAAATTAGACTCGGCGAAGGTTTTGGGAGTCTGGATTTTGGACCAAGGTAAAATCCAGCGACAACGAGAACCCAAGAATGTTGTGTTGCAGCCGGCAAAGTTTTTGTGAGTTTGATGAATGGAGTTGTAAATTCCCCAGGAGTTGGAACCCAAAAGTGTCGCCCGCATTTCGGGAAAGCGTTTCAATTTCGCTGTTTTCATGGCACGTAGACACACCTCTCACTTCAAGTTTTGTATATTTTCTCTACATCCTGTCCATCAGAATGAGAAGCCTTTAACATGAAACGTCAGACGACGACGACGATATGTGTATTTGTTTTATTTGTTTGGGGAATACACGGCCGCAAAAAGCGACAACGCATTTGGAAAATTAAATATTTTCCGAAAAGCAATTTTACAACGTTTTTTTTGTTAGGGTCTTCGGTTTTTAGGGTTTTTCTGGCTTTTCCTTTGTGCGTTCTTTATTATTTATGTTAATTGCTTGTTTTGTGCGTGTTTTGTTGCGGTTTTTCCTTAGCATTTTTTTTTGGTTGGTGAGCCTTTTTCGCTTTGCCATTTATATATTGCGTATACGTCACGTTGCCGCCAGGGGAAGGGTTGTGTGTGGTTCTTCTCTTCGATGTGGCAGTGTGTGACACATTGGCGTTTGAATTGTATACTGTTTCTTGTTTTTTTTCTGGTCTTTTGGTGTTCCATTGCCGCTTGAGTGGCGCCTGGAGACGACTGAGTGGGTGGTTCATGGGTGGCTTTCGGCTGGCTGTGGGCTCTTGGGCGGTTTTGCTGTCTGTCTGGGGCGTGACAGCGTCAAGTGTCGCCTTCGCCGGCAATTTGGCACGTCTTTGACACAAAAGTAAATGGCCAAGTGTTCTGGGCTACGGCTACACATCTAATTGCCATACAGTCATCTTTCAAACTCCAGCTTCTTCGTCTCCTTCACCTGCCTTTAATTAAAGCGAATGCGTTGGCCAGCCACTTTGTGGCCATTAACACTGCCCAGACTGGCTCTAATTAAAACTAAAAGCGCTGCTTTTGCAACCGTAGAATAAATAATTCGCAGTTCACACAGAGCACACAGCTTAATCACGTTGAAAATAAATGATCATCAATGATTTATGTGCCGATGGGGTAATATTCTTAATTTATGAAACTAAGGGAGAGGAGCTTAATAAACTAGGAAACATTTTTATGGCCCATCAGTCATAAAAATTTGACCTTTAAATAAATATTAATATTCATTGAGACAACAAAATTCTCGAGTGGAAAATTTATTGCCTTTAGAAATTATGAGTCAGGTTAATCACTTTATTAATATTTTTGTTAATTAAGCAAATAATTCATTTAACTTTTATTAATTGTGAAAATAATAACAGCATTATAGCACGAGCTTAACATTAATTTAAATTTATTTTAAAGAGCTATCAAAGATTTATTGAACTTTAGTTTATGAAGATAACGATTTAATTAAAAACTTTAATCTCATTAATTTATTTGAAATTTTTTAAGCGAGTTCCTTTGATACTCGGAGCAATTTTGGAATTGTGGAAATAATAACAGCTCTATAGCATGCATCCTATATTTATTTAATTTTAATTTAAATAGTTATTATAGATTTATTGAATTTTGAGTTAGCGAAGACAACTCTAATCCCATTAATTTATTTTCAACTTTCTAACTGTTTTTCCTTGACATTTACAGCAAATTGGTCTAATTTCTAGGCACTTCATTTTGTAAAGGAAAATTCTCGGAAAATCCTTAGATTTCTCAATGGTTTTCCTTTATAAAAATCGGCAACGTCACCTTAAACGTCGCCTAATCAGGGTAAATACACGATATTGATAGATTTATTGGCCAATTGGTTTAACTATTTATTATCGCCCTGCGTTTATGAAACTTGAGCAATGGTGACTTGCCTAAAATGACAGGAATTGAATTTCCTGTGCCGCCATAAAGTGTTTTTTTAGGACCGCTTTTAATCATCATCTTCAGGTTTTACGACCTTTTGGCATGCAACGAATATATAAATACGCTTTGGTAGGGATTCACTTTTTTATGGGTGCAGCAGATGGGCTGCCACTTGGATGGCCTATTGGAAATGGTCAATTAAATTGATTTCGGCCATCAATTGTTGACCTTGCTGTTGACAAATCTGTTTTTCTGTTTCTGTTTCTCCTGCTGCTGCTTCTTCGTTTAATCGCCCGAGAAAATTGTATGGCAAATCAAAATTGAAGCTACCCCGCCGAAAAATGGGGGGCGGCGATAATCGATTTCTGAACGATTCCCTTGCTCCCGAGGCTAATGGCGATGTTTTTGCCCCTATTTGTTGCTGTTGTCGCTGTCGTCTGGGGGAAAAGCCCCTTTGGCCTTGCCCGTGACATTGAGGGAAAGTCGGGGTGAAAATCGCTTACCTTGTGTGGAAATTATCCATGCCGCTGCCGCAGTAGAGCGGCGCAGTTTCATTGTTGCCACTGGCCATTGTTGTTGTTTGTGTTTCAGCTGCAACTGCTGCAAGTCTTTTGTGATTGCCGCCTGTCACTCAATGCTGTAGTTGCTTTTGCTGCCAAGGACAGCCGGTTTGAGCCTTCCCTGCAGATGCATTAATTATTAATTATCAACTGGGCAGCTCCTGCAAATATAGATAGATAGAGCGAAAAGTTAGAGGGTCTGTTGTCCAACATGACGTATAATTAATGCGAGTTGTAAATTGTTGCGTATACGGCCCGTTACCCCAACCAACTAATGTGATTAAATATTGCATGATGCACTGGGCGATGTGGTTGTCGTTGTTGTGGTCCCATGGTGGCTGCCCTAAGCCGATTAGCGAATAGCCGGCAAAATATATATATATATATATATATAAATTCACTCCTCGTAGTGTCGGCAAATCGGTCGGATTTTCCTGCTATCCGCTTCGTGCAACGCCTGCTGAGAAAGCTGCCTTGCAACTTAATTAGCAGTGGGAAAGAAGTGCACTTGAGGCAGGGATAATTTATGAGGTTCAGAGATTAAGACTTGTTTGTTACCCTTAGAAATAAAAGAATAGGTAATTCGCATTTAATAAGAACTACCAAAAATTAATACTTAAATGTCGATGGAATTAAAAAATCTTTTAAATTATTATATTTTTTGTAAAATATTTAGTCTTTACCAATTTTTGTAAATATTACTTATTACTATTTTACATAAAATATTATTGTAAATTAAAAAAAATAAATTTAATATTTAAAACATTTTGTGTTAAATATTTAGACATTAATTGTTTTAAATATAATTTTTTTCTCTTTTCTAAGGGAATTTTAAACCCAAACCTGTAGGTCTTCCAAAAACCCAGACCATCTGACCTAAGGGCATAAATTAAACCCATAAATAAATGAATTCAGCCAACGGCTCCGGCTCATCAAGGCAGCTGGACGAGATCAAGACAGACCGCATCTGAGTGGGGAATATAAAATATCTGGAGCCATCGTGCGGTCTAAATTAGATTTGTATGGCTGGAGCGTGGCCAGAGATAAATGCCATTTATTCTTTTTTTGAGGGATACTCCTCCTTCTTTCTTTTTTTTAGTTTGCTTTGTCCATTTCCACATTTCTCTCGGACGTGGGCAATATGTTATCTGTCGCCCCGCCTTGCCCCCAAAACTACTTCACCATATATATGTATCTAGTATCTCTGCGTGCCTGGTGCAACAATTTCTTTGCGCAAAGATTTTAATTGCATTTGTTAGGCAGCTGCAGTTGGCAGCGGAAAAGCATTGGGAAAGCGCTGCAAAAGCGGACTGAGGGGGGAAATGTGGCTGCAATTAACACGTTCCATGAGGCACAGAAACCGCAAAGCCAGCACACTGCTTAAATATGCATAGACGTAGATACTGGGTGAAAAGTGGTGGAAAAGCGGTGGAAATGCGGAGGAAATTTACGTAGAACGAGCAGCTAATGTGTAGGAAGCTTAGTAATTTGATTTGTAAATTTTCCATTTTCCTTATATTCTATTCTATTTTTTTTTTCGGCTTGTAAATGAACCAAAGGTTAATTTATCCAGGCAAATTAAGTACTCAAGTGGCAGGAATTCAATTCTTAAATAATACGCTGTGAAATTAATTGATTGATGATTCGCTCCATTTGACTGATGTAATTGTTGCTCCCCATTATTGTGACACAATACAAATGGCCAAGAAATATTAATTAAAATCGTGCCGGGCCATAATTCGATTATATAAATTAATTGCCGCTTGATGAACGCTGAACGCCCCGTTATGCAAGAATATGCCATGCAATAGCAATCCCTGTGGTTTATTTCAATACAAACTGATGTTGCTGCTTTTGCTGCCCAGCGGAAATAATTTTGTATTAATTGCGAATATATAGTGGCTATATATCGGCCGGAATCCGGATGATTGCTCCGTTCATCATGTGGTTCTCTGTGCGTCCTGGAGAGGTGACAAATGAAATGATTAATGAATGACAGCTGCCGGTTGCCCGCAGATGTATGCTATAATTTTTGCAAACAATAGCGAAGAATAATATGCCAATGCCATTTGCGGTTGCCGCTGTTGCTACAGACAAAGGCTGACAGCTTAACTGATTGCATGGTATGGGAATATGGGAATGGAGTGAAGGAGATGGACAGAGGACCTCGAGAGCTCTTCACCGGCGGGAAAACATGGTCCTGAAGTTGTAACATTTGTCTGACGACTTAATTCTGGTCTTCTAGGAATTTATGAAACGACAGGAGATTTTATATATTTAAATGAGATTTAAGAACAGTTGGGAAACTTATCATATCGCTGTGTTTCTTTAAATTTTTTGTTTTAAATTCCCTAACCTTTGACTATATTAACTATTTTTACAAAATAAAAAACCAAAATACAATTTCTTTGTTTCTTATAAAATATTTTTAAAATAACCACTATTTCTCAAATTATATTAAGAATTTTTATATTGATTTTAAATTGTTGTAACCTAACTTTCCAAATTTATTTATAAAAATTACAATCGTTTTAAATTTTAAATACAAATTTAAGCATTAAATAATTTTATAATCTTTTTTTAATGTCTTGGAAAAATAAATTAGAATAATTTTAAATACAAATCGGAGAATAAAATATTGTAAAATATTTCTTATATTTTTAGTAATATTGTTTTCCATTTATTATTTACAAAATAAAATTTTTTGTCCAGTGTACGTTAATAACTATTTCCCGAACATAATTTGGTTCAAGAAAAGCAGTCTAATGGCAGGGCCTGAATAACATTTTCATTTTGGACACGGTCCACTGAGCAACAGACCAACAACAATGGGGGCGTAAATAAGGCCATCATGTGGGTAAAAGTAAAAGTAAGAGGTGAAAGTGAAAGAGAAATTGAAATCAAAACTGATTTCCGCATGGCAAGAGGGTTCTGTTTAGTCCTGTGGACATGGTGGCAGCCCCTCGACTGATAAACCAGTTATGTCACGCCCATGTTGCACAGAGATTCGTGCCGCCATACAAAATCGCAGCAACAGACAGCTGATAGATATCGGGAAAACCCGGAAAAGTCATACATATCCGAGCTGAAAGAGAAAATGGCAGGGGATCTCAGGGAAAATGGTCAACAATCAGCAGCGAAATGAAATTCAAGCTGCTGGGGGAAATCTTCTTTTGCGATTCAGCACTCAAGCCAGCATCGAGTTTTGCTATTTACCGCTCTTCAAAGTAATATTTACTTCATATTGATTATTGATTGCTTGTTTTGCTACCCTGTTTACTTTTCCCTCGCCCGTTGCTCCTGTTTGTTTTACGCTCTTTTATTTGCATTTTCGTTTTCTTTTTCTTCACGTAAGCAAACTTGTTATTCGCTTCTTGTTTGCTTTGCTTTTCTGCAGTGGCATTATTTTAAATTGTTTTCTAAATGGTTAGCCAAAATAAAAGAAAACAGGAAGTGCAAAATATCGAGAGGGGAAATAACCAGAAGTCAATCCCCCTTTTCCCCTGCCCCTTGTGCCATGTGAAGATGGACAGCTGGAGTTGTTTCTTGAGTTGATCAAATTTAAGATAAGTGCTTTCGCCAGCCAAGTGGAAGGAATGCTTCTTACCCTCCAACAATTTGGCAAAGTAAAACCTTAAAGCTGCTGACCAGGAATTTAATGAGGGAAAACTCTTGAGGAAAGCGCTCGAGAGATGCAAGGGGAAAACAAAAAGATTAGAATTATGCTAGTATGCCATTAGTGCTCGCTGCTTTTCACCATATGCGTATGCGTATGCAGCGCTTGTGTCATCAACAGGATCTCGAGTGCGTCGGAGAAAGGATAATAGCCAAGGTCACACGGCGAGAAAGTATGGAAGTACTAGGCATATTTTAGCGTGAGGCTCAAAGCAGTGGGACAATAAACTATCACTTTAAAGAAAAGATTTTGTGTGTTAATGTGCCATGAAAATCCTTGGATTTTTAAAATCATTTTTAAAGGTGTCTAAAAGTATGCAAGTAAAATATAAATAGGAAAAAAGAGAAATGAGAATTTTTTAAATAATTTTTTAAGGTGTCCAAAAGTAGGCAAGAATTCATTGAGAAACTCAAAGTTCTTTTTTCATAGCATATTTTTAGACTGCATTTTTTTTAATTTCTTTAGAATTTTTAAAAGTGAAAAATATTTCCTTTTTTACCCATTGTGAAGAAGAAAATGTATGTACTAATTCCTATTTTCTTTTTTAATTTCTGTTATTTTTCTAGATTTTAATTAGTTTATACACAGCTTGTGCTAAATTTATCCCACTGCATTGCTAAGCATTATGAAAGCCCCTCCTCCTTGCTTGAGACTCTTTCAATTTGCACTTTTGCCGGATGTTTTGGGAGGGAGATGGGGATTCCCCGGCAAACTCTGTAACCCAACCGCTGGAGGGCTAGGACTACAGAGCCGTTTGTCACGACGATGACTTGATGGTGATGCCACTTGGGCTGGCATTCGGGCTCACATGGACGACACAAGTTGCCAGTCATGACAGCAGCAGCGGCAGCAAGTTGAAAAAACAGAGTGTCTAGCCCCGAGGAGTGGAACGGTTGGCGGTTCTCCGTGGCACAAACATAAATACAGTTACAATCTGTAAATATTTGTGTCAGGATGTCAGTCAGTCTGACTTCCCTACAAATATCCTGTCAAAGTTTTCGCTCTCTCCTGTTGTTTTACTTTTGCCGCTTGTTCTCGAGAAAGTTTCGTTGTTGGAAAAAAATCAGAATCAGTTTTTCGTCGATGTAATTAGACGAAACGAAACATGCGAAACGAAACGAAAGGAAACTCTCGTTGCCATAATTTCGGCACGTTACTCATACGCCCAGGTGGCCGCCGCAGAAACCGCGACCTTGTAATCACACACGCTGCGCAGGCATAATTCAAATGTCATCCAGTTGTCATTGTTCGTTTGGCAAATTGCTCTCCACCGCCTTCGCACGACAAATTCCATGGAAATTCGACTGTATTTTGGCTTTATTTCAGCTCTGTCGCCTGTTGACTGGAATTTGTGTATCAAGCATACGTCATGTAGTCTCTCCACGAGTCTGGCTGAGTAATTCCCCAGAAACAATAGGAGATACTCATTCGATTTGAGGAATGGGTAAGCTGCGGGGCTAATTTTGGTCTCAAAGAGTTTTAAGT